CCATTAAATTCTTGTATCATGTCTTACAGCAGAAGTATCACCGGTGACAGTATGTGTAGTAGTAGACGTGGATGCGATATTAGAAGTAACAGTGGGAGAAGTAGCAGTTGTTGCAGTAGAAATTAAGTAGACTCAGTAGTATTAGAGGCGGGATCAGGGGTCGTCAAAATAATAAGAAAGTAATAAGAATAAAGATTATATATTCGTTGTCTTCAATCGTCTGTGTCGTACAGAGGTGAGGCGGCCTGTTATTCGTCTATAGGAACGTTTTTTCTTTCCTGTACATTCCATCAACATCAACATAATAATGCTGATGTTTCCTCCATCAGCTTCCTCTTCCTGCAGGGATCTGTCTCCAATCACTGCTGTCAATTAGACCTGCTCCTTCTCCCATGGACCTCTGTAATCTACTTTCTCTCTGGACTGATCACATTAAGGTTCCAATGGTGCCATCATGGTTGAGAAGAGGGAGGAGGAGGAGGAGGAGGAGGTGGAGGAGGAGGAGGAGGAGGAGGTGGGGGGTCGGGGGGTGGTCATCTGCTGACTGGGAGGAGATATCAACGACCCGCGAAGGCCAGACACTCTGTTGTCATGATGTAGAGGTAAATGAAATTTGTGATCATCCTCAGGTACGCAACCACAAGTGCAAGCAAAAATGAATCATATCTTCCAGAAGATGCTGGCTCACACTTTGTTTTCATGTATCTCATCATAAATCTCACATTACTTTAAGACATTTTACAGAATGGTTTTCATTGCTGCGAGCACAAAATTTAATTCATCTCCTTTTTTTTTTTTTGTGATTTGAGTGACCTGACCCTTTAAAGTTGATCGCCAGTGATAAGCACAGAGTGTGAAATCATATTGTCCCAGTACATTAATATTTCTGTAATACAATACTGAATATTCTGTGTTGCATTTTAAGTCTCTCAGGTAAAGGTCAAACCAGGTTTAAAAATGAATAATGAATGAATCTGAAATAAACAAAACATTAAACTCTTACCATTAATACAGAGCAACATTATCGTTCATGTTTAGTCATGTACTGTCCACCTGATGAATGTTATTCCTTTTGGCTCTGTTTTAGTCTCCTCTGGAGTTAAGGAAGCTGCAGATTTGATGATAATTTTCTGCTGATTCATTATTGCCAACAAATTTTACATTACACATAGTAATTTGATTTATTTTAAATATAGAAATATTGATTAGAGCAGCTTTAATACATAGAATCAATAATATGAGCAGAATAAACAGAACCAAAACCTCTTATTTTGCCCAGCAAAAGCAAATGTGAAACCGTTTGCTTTAAATGTCAGATATAATCCAGAAGTGTCATCTTTCTTTGCAGATATGAAGTTGATGATGACATTTATAAATTTGACTTTATAAATTCTTCATTTAAAGGCCTAATGTGTTTCAGAGTGAACAGGTTTTTTCTTTAGCCCAAAGCTTTATGATGTGTACAACCTGTCACAGCCTCTATCCATAGACCCTTGATTCATCTATGGAAAAAGTTCACAAAAATGCCATTAAAGGTGTAATATTTAACATTTCTGCATTAAAATGTGTAAAAAAATATGTTAACAGAGAAACAAGCTGAGCAAACATTAGCGGCAGCTCAGCTCACAGCCCCTCTGACATGTCTTGTGCCCGTTGGGAAAAGCTGACAGCAATGGTGATGAAGACAACAACTCCCATGATCCCACCGTACGTCAAACTTCCAGATGTCACCAAACTCCCTCTTTTTTCAAGTTTTGATTGAAAGACCGCCAGCTGCAGAGGATTACATACTGTCCGTGTAAGGGGACAAAAAACCTCAAGAGAGCAACAGGGGAGAGGTACACGTCATGATAGTATACCATCAGCAGGATTACAACATGGAGAATTAAGCTGCCACATTAATCAGAGTATAACATATAATATGAAGTAATTACAAGTGATAAGCTAAAAGTGTTTCAATGTTAAAGTTTATGGAGTGACGAATGTAAATCAATCAAGATGTCACGAAACTTCCAGGTGCCACAGAAAGCTGGTACCACAAACAATCCTCTGCACCATGATCACCTGGCACACACACACACACACACACACACACACATCTTTTGTACCACAAGCAATTTTTATTACCACGGTTGCACGTGTCTTTGTGGGTTGGCGTGCATTCAGGTTAAAATACCTACCAGGAAAACAAAAACAAACCCACACACAGACACACAAACACACACACACACACACACACACACACACACACACACACACACACACACACACACACACACACTGAGGAAGAAGACAAAAGATGTTAAGGGAAAACTGAAATCCTGAGTTTGTTGCATCACAGGTGTCAAAGTTATATCACAGTTCCAATATTACATATCAATAAAATATTCTTCATCAGTTTAGAAATATATCAACAAAAGTCATATCACTTGAAACCTCATACAATTAACTATTTAATCTATTACAGCTATTGCTTGTATTTATGTTTACATGTCCATGGCTACTTTAACGTGATTCAAATTCAAATGAATAATTTAAAGACAGTAACTGTTTATCCTTTTAATTAAACATTGCTATAACCTCTTTCATTTTAGTTTTCTCACTGTTTTTCTCTTCATCTCTTTGCTCTGTCACCTCTGCAGTCTCTCCTCTGCTCATGTCATGTCTAAGCCAATCATGTTTTTGTCACCAGTGATACCGGCTAAATTGTTCACACTCATTTAGATGGATGGATGGATGGATGGATGGATGGATGGATGGATGGATGGATGGATGGATGGATGGATGGTATATGGATGGATGGATGGATGGATGGATGGAGCACCGGCCGACGTCACGGCTAATTCATGTGCCATTCCGGCAAAGCAGATCAGACTCATCAGGGACACTGTGGGTGGATTCAGAAACACTTCAGCCCTGCGTGGTGTTAAAAGCCCAGAACAACCTGAAATAGAAAACAGTGGCAGTATCTTGCAAACACCCTCTAAAATGTTATTGTATTTATTTAAAGTGGTAATCTGCAAGATCCTTGTGTTTTTATTCAGTCTTCAGCACCATCTGTGGTGCTCAGCCTTCACTGCTGTGGAGGTAAACAAATGGCAGCAGCAGGATTTTAATAACATTGTCATGGAATTAAGTATTTGTGTCATGGCAGGACAATGCATGAGATAAAAAAAAGGAAATGTTTAAGGCATCAAATTATGCTTGGAAACATCTTTTTCAGTCCGATACCTTGCATAAAACACAGTATATATTCTTTATGACAAGAATCAGGATGATTCAAACTGCGGTCCTATAATACTCAATGACTTTCCAGAAAACCTCTCGTGAAAAAGAGTTGTATTCTATGTCCACTGTGTTTGATAACTCAAGGTCAATCAAAATCAAACCTTAACAAAAACGTAACTTAAGACAGTGGTGATTTTAATATCACAGGCTGGACTGTTTTACTTTAATTCTTTACGATTTGTACTATGTGCCATACAACTGATATTTTGTGTTTCAGATGTATTTCTAACTGATTACTGCACATTTTCACACTCACTGATAAACAGCCTACTGATGTTTTGCTGACAACTTATCTCCTGTCAAGTGTCGACTGGACAGATCTCTAACAGATGTGGGCTGAAAGAAAGACACAGTGGTGTTACATTTTCACTGTTCAATTTACTCTGATGAGGAAATGGAAAGCATTTTGACAGTGAACTCATTAGAAGAAGAGGACCTGACTGTATTGACTTCTCAGAATTAATACATTTCCCAAATGACACATCTGACGTTTTTTAAAAAGTTTATTTTAAAATGATTTTGGTAGTACGGTACGACAGTGTATGATATTGTAAGATATGCTTTGAGCAGAGCACAGTTCTCAGACATTGTACTGTAAATTAAATATTTTACATACCGGGAATTGAATGAAAGGAGAACAACGTAAAACTCAGAGACACTGAAAAGGTGATTCTTAGGGAAAAAGTCAGGTCGAACCTTTCCAGCTCATATTTTATAGATTTACCCACAGTGCAAATGTCAGTATATGTGACTCTGACAGTGTAAACATCAACACAGGTGCCTATATGCCAGTTTTTCTTCCACAATTCACAATCACTGCTATGCTGAGGCTTTTGCTTTATAATCCATTTTACCAGTTCAATGAAAACAAAAGCTTGTTATACAATGGAAATATCAAATATTATGAAAAACATTTTGCACAAACTACGTTAAAGCTGAGTAATTGCAAAGCTTCAAAACCCATTCACTAACTTGTCTGTGTTTCTTTATATCCATCACCGGCCTTGTGAACAGTATTTACTTTAATAAAATAAATAAATAAGGGATAAAATATTTCTTAAGGTTAATTACCTTTACTTCATGGAACAAAAGTAACCTAAGGGTGCCTAAAACCTTGGTACATGTAAGGGGAAACTGGCATGGATATTTATTTCATATATAGATATGAATATTTTCTTTCTAAAATCCCTCTGATGCTGTTTGAAAGGATAAAGCTGCTCTAATATTATGTCATTTTAGTGCTGGTTTGTGCAGATTTGACCTATACCCTCTTCTTCTTCTCTCTTTTTTTCTTTCTTCTTCTTCTATCTTGTATAACAGATCTGCAGAAAACTTTGACATTAACCTCAAGACTCACATCTTCTCACTTTAGATTTCCTGTCCAATTTCTTATTTCTCCCTTCCTGCCTCCCTGAAGCAGCTGACCTGCATTGCGATGGGAGAGGAGGGAAAATGATCAGATGAGTCAACGGCATCAGCTCTGGCATATAAGTTAGTTATTCCTACGATTAATTGGAAGAAAATGAAAAAAAAACTCCACACTAATTTCACCATAGGTCTGTTTGGTTCCGACCGATGACGGAAGCAGAAACCTACTGACGTCTCAGGCCCCTGATTGAATGTCCCCTCCTGCTCCATGAGAAACATCCAGGTGTATAAAACGGGAGCAGAGCTGAAGGCGAGCAGAAAGACACAGCCGTATCAACCGAGTGGACATACAGCGCCGGCTTAAGACCAGGACCTTGGAGAGCGCAGCGGAAAGAACCAAACGCAGACAACTTTCTCTAGAGTACATGTAAGATTTCATATTTATATAGATATTATTTTAGAGTTACTATGAGACAGTGCGTCCTCGGTGGTCTCCGTTTTTTGGTCATTTTAAACTTGTGTTTTTGGTCTTTTTGCGCGCTCCAGCCAGGGTTTGGATAAATCTTTCCAAGTGCGTGTTGTTGAGTTTTACATCGTATAAATTGTTCTTTGTAATTTAAGCAGCGGCTCCACGCAGTGAATTTGGTTTGTGGTTTGTGGCGGCAACAGAATTACAGCGTCTCCGCGATGTGATCTGATGTTTAATCATCACTACTCTCTGCGTAATTACGCATGGGAGTCCGCTAGTTTATTTTTTTTTGCCTCTGTCAAAATCACGATTAATCGCAGTCCTTCATGGCTAAAACTTTATGTTTTGTTCCTTGACACATGACAAATGGTAAGCGAGGAGTCGGAGAACTGAATTGGTTAAAAACTAAAATGATCAGAGGAGATTTTTAGATTTCGTTTCGTCCACTTTTTTGTGAAAAGCATTTATAGCATTTATATACGTTAAATTTGTTTGTGTTGACAGAGCTGCAGTGTCCAGGGGGTGTGATAAAATATTTAGTCGTGGACAGTGCCCGGGGTGTGCGTAATTACGCATTGGATTCCAGTTATTTTCTTTGGTCAAAAATCAATATCAGATGTTTTCACTAAGATCAGTTAAAACGGCTCCTCGTGGATAAACTATTCTTCTTTTGCTGTAAGCTATTAACTACTTGTTAGATCTGACTGTTGCGCATAATTCAAGATAAACTAAACTTACGGGGTAATGAAGAGAGGATAGTGCACGATGTTTTCGTCGGTGGACTGGTTGGAAACGAACTGGTGCGCTCATTTTCTCGTTTCCATCCTCAGGTGTAAAGCGATGTTACAACGGACCGGCCCCCAGCTGCTTCTCTTAATAGCCCTGTGCAGTGTGTTGTACTCCCGGACTCTGAGTCTGCCATACACATCCATGAGGTGAGAGGAAACCTATGTTCTTTCCAACTAAAACACCTTGTGGATGAATTAGAATTAATTTTTAGGCACGTTGTCTTCACTAATGTCAGAGATAATTTCAGATATTGGCACTATGTTGTTGATGCCAAAGTAGATAACATGCATGACTCAGAAAGACTATTGTTTCCAGGTGAACAGAGAAAAACAAGGTGAATCACTTGCACTTGCTTTAATATATCTGTATATATTTAAAATAATTCATAATGAGCCTGTAAACAGAGGAATACATTCTGATCTTGGCTGATATCTGCCTCATATGACATCATCTGTCTTCTCACAGGGCTTATACACGCTGGGATGTAACTCTTGAAGGGTTATGCTTCACACATGTCGGTACATATGAGGAGTGAAACCAGAAATCATTTTGATGGCACATATGCTGACTGTACATTTCTCTTTTGAATCAGTATAATGGCTGCTGTAGTTTTAGAGAGAAATCAAAAGGAAAACCTTCGCACTGGTCGCTTAGTTTAAACCATTATAACCAGTACAGCCTCAGAACTGGAGCTGGTGCTTGTCCATTTTGCATATGTTGATATTTTAATGTGTTTCGACTTTAATGAAACTGTCCTTTAATGCTGTGCAGACCGACGAGACACGCAGACGGTCTGTTCACCAGCGGATACAGCAAACTCCTGGGACAGCTATCAGCGCGGAGGTACCTGGAGTCTCTGATCGGAAAGCGGGTCAGGTAGGTGACCTTCCCGCCCGGAGCGCACCGGAGAGCGGAGAGCTGCAGGCAGGCAGGCAGGCAGGCACTGGGAGGCAGGCCACTGGGAGGCAAGGCAGGCACTGGGAGGCAGGCACTGGGAGGCAGGCAGGCACTGGGAGGCAGGCAGGCAGGCAGGCAGGCAGGCAGGCAGGCAGGCACTGGGAGGCTGAATTTCGCTTTTGAATCGCGAGTGAAAGGAAAACCTAGAGTTGGATTTATTTATTGGCTGATTTGTCATAATCACAATTAAAATCGTGAAATCTGAGACCAAAGGATTTCTAAAAGCTGGTTTCAGGTGTATAAAACTTTAAATTCACTTTTCTGAATGTTGAATCCACAAGGAATTCGCTATAGTAGATTCATTTTTATAAGGCAAAATTCACAATTATTAAAGAATAAAAGTAAATCTGAGAACAAAATGTCTGTAGATTGTCTGTGTCACAGCCACAGTGAACGTGGAGCCTTTTTCTTGTAATGGACAGTTAGGAAAAGCTAGAAAATAAGTGTAAATGTAAATGGATGTAGAAGTCTTAAGTTCTTAAGTTCCAGAAGTATGTCACCCTGTCACCTAGCAAAAACACTGAACAATTTTTAAATGTGTGCTTTAGTTATGAAAGAAAACACTTGTGCACCCGTTACTCTTTCAAGGGTTTTCAGCTGTTAAGTTGAAGTCAGCATGTTTGAGCTTGAAAAACAGCCCAAAAGATGAATGAAGTTCTCAACAAAAGCAAATATCAGAAAGTTTTATTTCCTAACTTTCATCAATGGTATTTGTGTATTCCTTTAGTCGTGTGAATCAAGTGAAACACAAATTGTATGAAAGTTTTTCATATTCCTTGTTAAAACCACATTTTGTAACTTTAAGTTTAAAGATGAGACTTCATCATGTTTGACTGTATCATGTAGAGGAGTGAACTTTTTTCTTTAATGTTTGCTGTTGGACAGAGAGGACCTACTGACATTTACAATGAAAGGGCCCGTGCTGCTTGATGATGCATTTTGTAATCGACTAAACATTTTTAAAGGTTAATTCATGCCATTACTGTGTCATTACATGTTTGTTATACAGCCAGGAGGGACTCACACAAACACACAAAGAAAAGACACCATGAATCACAGATCCTGAGCTGCACTGACTTTGTATTGACCCCCGCTGGCCTCTGAACTGTGGTGATGCTCTGATACATTCATTCTTCTCTTTGTTTCTTTCATGATCTCTCTTGTGTCTAGTGATGAGCTGATGGACGAGCCAGTGAAGCGTCACTCAGACGCCATCTTTACAGACAATTACAGCCGGTTCCGCAAACAGATGGCCGTCAAGAAATACCTGAACTCAGTCTTAACAGGAAAGAGAAGGTAGGAATCAGTCCTGCACCGTCTCCACCTCAGTTTCATTCTCTACCATAATCTGACTGTGGAGGTGAATAAGATCATGACTCACTGAAAATAGCTCCACCTTAGATAAATGTAAAAATGTAAGAAAACAGCTCAGGCATCATTTCACATGGCTGATTATTCCATACCTTTTGCCTCTAACCTGAATGTCTTGAGCTCAATGTTCTCATTTAAAAGAGGTTAAGTCTTTCAATGTAATTCTGTAGAGCTACTGATCTCCGATGAACCAGTATGTACAGTAGCAGCCTTTACTTTGACTTTACCACTCAAATTTGATGGTGGCTGTTTCCTGAGAATCTAATGATCCCCACGGTTGGAAACTAGATTAACAAACAAATTACGAGTTAAAATGATAACAAGAACGTTGTGCACAGCTTTTTAAAAATGGCAGAGTAGATCTACTTTTGGCCTACCTCTACGCTCAAATGGATGAACTGGATGAACAGTTTTAATGGATAAATGACAAACGACAAATGACAAAGCTAAATCAGCTGACTGGTATGCTGGAATCTCACCCCTGGCTTTATAAAGCTCAACCAGTTCAGCTGATCTTAAAACGGTCTCCTTAACCACAAATTGTATTTATTAAGATTATCTCTTTCCAGGCAGATACTAAAGCACAAATTGGCTTGCTTTATCATTTCTGTGATCTTTTCCCTGGTTGTGCCTTTCAAAAATTTGTATAAATATAATGTTATGGAACAAAAAAGTATTCATATGTATTCATATGCACACAGCCTAGAAGATCCTGGAACCAGCGGCCCAGAGGAGTCCAGGGACGAACCCAACACTTTCCAGGAGAGCTATGATGATATCAACGTAGATCACCTCCTAAACAACTTTCAGCTGGTAGGTGCTGACACGCACACTTATGCACAAATGTTTGTACTGTTAGAAGTGTGGTCCTCATTGACATATTGACATACACCATAACCTTAACCTAATAGTAACATTAAGTCTTAAGTCTTCTTCAGAGAATTGAGGACCAGCGGAAATACCCTCACTTTTAAGAAATGTCCTCATTTTTAAGATCTAAAACTCAAATAAATTTTTCCTCACAAAAACAGAAACTCAATTCTAAATGAGTTAATTTGAGAATGGGAATACTGTATTTTACTATCTCAGAACCAGCAGGATTGTCAGTTGTACTAGATCAATAACACCTCTTCTTCTCTGTCCACTTTCTCTCCTGTTTTTTTCTGCAGCCACTTTGAGGAGGGGCCTGTGCTCGAGTGAATACCTCAACTCATCCTCATGAAACCGCCCATTCCAAAAACACCACTACTATACGACAGTATTAATCCAAAGGACAATCAAAGTCAAATGAACCAACAATGATGTGTTCTCCAATATGGTTATCTATCTATCCATCCACACAGTACATGTTTACACTGTATATATACAGTATATATACACAATACTAATCACTAAAGATTCTGGCCCAAAGACTCTGTGGACCGCACTGAGCAACATGCGTGTCCACATGAGGTTTGGTCAATCAGCATTTGAAGATGGCAACTGGTAAAAGTAAATATAAGCAGAAGTAGCACATTTACTTTCTTTCTAAAATCAATGTTGTTCCATTAACTTTCAATGAAAACAAATGAAAAAGTTTTATAAGGAAATCTGTCCCATCAACTTTTAGTTACAAATTTGACCCGTTGAATATAAACAGAACAGCATTTACTTCCAATAGTGCACCATTCCCATTAATTTTCAGTGGATCTAAGGTAACTTTACTAACTAACTATAAACTGTCAATGGAAATATTTCCCCAAAAAATAACCTTCAAAGGAACAAATGTTACATTTTTGTGACTTTTTAATTTTACTTTAAGTTGAACATTTGACCTGTTGAGCTTTAATAGAAAAGCCATTACTGTCAATAGAAAAGACGTCCCATTTATTTTCAGTGGGTATTATCAATTATCAGTATTTCAAAACAATGGAGCACTTTTCCAATTAATCTTACATGAATGCTAGCACCATTAGCTTTCAGTGGAATCACTGCTTTGGGGCCAGTTGTACTACTTAACCTGAACCATGGCCCCATTTACTTTTAATAAGACAACACTTGTATAAATTGGAAAGTTTGTCAGATATTGTTTCAAGAACAAACTTTTAATAGAACCATTTTGCAATCACCTTGGCTTTGCCCAATTAATGAAACTTTCAATGGAGCACTTAAAATTAATCTTCATTAGCGTTCAGTCTAATAACTGCTTTGTAGAAATTTCAGCGCAATATTTGTCAAATTATTTTCAAGGAAACTGTAGTTCTTTTAATTTTTGATGGAAATATTTCCCTGAAATTTATCCCATTAACTTTCAGTTTAACATTTGACCCGTTGAACGTCAATGGAACAACATTTGTTTTTATTCATTAATTTTATTTTCAGTGTATCTAGTGAAGCATTTGTCCAGTTAATTTAAATGGAACATCTGTGATTGCATTCTGATGAATTTTCACCGACCAATAGTTCCATCAACTTCCATTACAGAACTCCAGCACTATTGGCTTTCAGTAGAATCAGTGCTTTATAAAAAAAATTGTATTATCCCATCTACCTTTAGTAGAACAATAGATGCATTTAATTACAATGGAACTATTGATTTATTGCACTATTACACATGGGGCAATAATTTGGGTCAAGTTTCAACAGAACATTTGTTACATTAAATTCAATTTAACCATTGTCCCATTAATTTTCAATGGTGCAATCATGATCTAAGTGCTGACTGAGTTGTATTAGAGAATCCAAATGTGGTCATTTGATAATAAAACCATAATACAAGAGAAAAAGGAAGGGGAACACATTTTGAATGGACACAGATGCATATAATCACTTTATACTATTCAATATGTAGAGCAAAGAAGTTATAACTGTGCATAGACCTGCCTTTAGCGCATATAGTGATGTATACCACTCACCAAATAAAAGATGTTGGTTTATTTTTCAAAGCTGAGTTGTTTTGTCTGGCTGATTGTTTGACAATTTAAGTTTTAAGACATAAGTTTGATCAGTTTGGGTTTTTGATAGATAATACATGCAGAGCTTAAGCTGCTAATGGCTGACCTTTTGTGCTTCTGATGGTTTCTACTGCTAAAATTTGCCCAAAAATTTACAGTATTTGATATTTTCCCTAAAATGTCATTCTTATTTCGGTGAAAAGCAGCACGTAGACCATTATGTGACTGGAAGCCTAATGATTTGAAATTTTGTGGGTGTTCAGTAACTCTTTTAACCACCAATTGCAATGTATGTCATTTTTTTTAATTCACCTATATTTAACTGTTTTAAAACAAAAACTGCTGTCCCAGGGCAGCTGATCAGACCGCCTGTAAAATAAAAAAGCCTTGGATGTGATCGTATAGATGGATGTGACAACATGTTGACATATTTGAGTGCAAAGCAACAAGCGACCTTCTCTTCTTCCCCATGGGTGCTGGCTGACTGACATGAAGTTCAGTGACACTGACATAAAAACACTGGGTACACACTGAGCAAATTTCTTTTACCTTAAAAAGCCTCTTTCTTTCCTTGTTGAACCAGAAACAGATTTAAGTGCCACCTCTTGCTAACTGTCTCAGTACTGGGAGAAGCGTGTTTGAGATTGTTGCTTGAATATTTTATTTGGAAGGGACTATAATACCACACAATACATAACACAAACAGTCACAGTTGACAAAATGTCAATATCTTTTACAAAATGTCCTATTTAATCTTATGATGACAAAAAGTAAACATTCTATTGAAAAATGTTGTAAAGGAAAAGTGTTACCAATGGCCATTTATGGCTCAGATCTCTTTTATGACAGTTTCCTCATTTGTTGAACTGTTGGATGCTATGTAATGCTGTTTTCCAATTCAGAAACATGATGACTAAACGTTTTTTTTTTTTGTGATTAGCTGGTCTCAGCAAAAAAAGTTCAGAATTCTCTTCTACCGCATTTTTTTATTCACTTTCATTCACTTTTCCTCAATTCCTCCAAAATAGTCTATGTGACAGTAGACACATAATCATAGGGGAGAATTCAAAAAACAATGGACAGGAAACCTGGTTGGACATAATGTACATCCTGGGGATTGGAAATAATCTTTGGGTAACATCAGTAGAAGATATGGGTAATAAGTTTAGCCAACTGAAAGTAATACACAGACGACATCAGACACCATAGCAATTATGTAAATGGAAATTAATACCAGTAGACTCCTGCTGGAGATGTGAACAGAAAGGTACCTTCTTTCTACATATACTTTTGATATGTTCAGCACTTAAAAGATGGTGGAACAATATCCAAAAGATCATTTTTGAAGTCCTAAACAAGAAGTTTTAAATAATTGCAAAATTATTCTGGGTTCCACACTGAACTTCAGGTCTTCGACTTAATTTTATAGGTGTGTTTAGTTTTGATAGATCTATTTAGTGAAGTGATCCTTGTCTGTCTTTGTTCAGTGAGCAGCAGGACACAAAAAGAAGGAATGTCTGACACTGGGTGGGCAACACAAAAACTTCAGCACCATGGACAGCGACACTGTCAGTACTTGGGTATTGGCTTTGTACAAAGTTTTGTACTTTCTTTTCTGTTTTAAGATATTTTCTTCTTTTAAATGTCTGCCTCAGCTACCTGCTTAAAAGTCTTTTTATAATAAAGAATTTCTGAAACACATCCAGAGCACAGACCAGTGGTGATAATGTTTCGATCTCGATTCCTCCTCACTCAGCTCAGGCAGGTGTGGAGATACCACAGCTACTGTCAAACATGCTGGCCTTAAAGGGAAGCTAAAATCAACTGGTAGGTGGAGAGGGAGTAGTTTGCACCAAGACTACAATACTCCAAGTGTTTGCTACCAAAAACAAAAATTAACAGGTTAGTTTGCGGCATACTTCTTCAGGTTGTCATTTCCACGGATGAAGTCTGGAGGGAGCTTTCATTTTTCTCCCTCCAGATGTTCAAGTACAGAAAAATGCATGTACTATGGCAGAAATTTGGTTTGGTAATGGTTAGGATAAGGCAACTTATCAAAATTGTTTAAAGTTAAGGTTAGCCCTGATTTAGATTTGAAAGAAACTAGAAATGAAAAAAGGTTATTGTCCCAGATGAAGGGTAAGTCTGGTATCTCCTATTGTTGTTCATTATCAACAAATCCCAGTAAGCAGCTTGGTGCACAGTAATTCACTTGGTGATCCAAAGGGTCTTACAGAGATGAGCTACAATAGTAGTTCAAAAATGTTTTAAAATGATTTAAATCCATAGGCTTCATGAGAATGGATGGACGGAGGGGTGAATGGACAGACTACCCGAAGACATAATGCGTTATATGCCTTAGACTATATGACAACCACAGTAACTAATTTCCCAGAGGTCTCAGACTTTTGGATCCCACTTTATATTGAATTAAAATGTTTTAAGAAAGATCATTTTAAAAAATTGTTTAAAAAACAATTGCAGCCAGTGTAACTGTCTTCTAGATTTAGTTATTGACCAATTTAGCTAATCATGCATATAACAATGACAGGTTCTAAAACAAATCTACAGAGACTATTATAAACTACATTGAGGGGGCGATCGTCTATAGTTTATATATAACTATATTATAGCCTCCAGAATCAATGTACTATTACGCCTTCAATTCCTATTCATCCAGCTTTCACAGTTTTAGATGGTTGTGAGGTTGTTAAAGGCCTGAAAGTAGGAATACTTTTACTCGTGTTGTCATGCTTCACACCATTAGCAGACTTCTCAGTCAACCAGCTGTATTTCCACAGCTTTGCTCAGTAATGGCTCCCACGCTAAGAGGTGACAGGTGATGATAGAAGCTCAAGTGCAAGTTTGTGTCTGCTCTGTTCATCACAGTTTTGGCTATACAACAACTCAGCCGAAGTAAGTGGACTAATCTAATTATCATTGTTTATTTATTATTAACTGTTTTTATTATTATTATTATTATCAACAATAAACGCTAAAGCTAATGGACACATGAATTTCCTCTAAGGGATAAATAAAGTATCTATCTATCTGTCTATCTATCTATCTATCTATCTATCTATTGAAAGGGGTTTCTCATTTTCTCTCTTTAGCTTTGTGGCAGTCCTGCAAACCCGAAGCCATGGGTCTCATCTCAGGATGATTTAACCTTACTGAACCCTACAAGCCTCAATGCAAAGTTTAGGTCATAATCAGTGACATTTCTGTAAATGTCTTTTTGCTGCTCCCTGACCTGAGAGTGTCACTGC